ATTAAGCTCCTGGAGAAAAAGGCGTTGGTTAGATGTAAGTGGACGTTTGACTGCGGACGTTGCATTGCACGAGGGAGTGACGATCGTGCCCCCACATGGTATTGTCTGAACCCCACTTGAATCGGTAGCGCCTGCGCTTCTCTCAGCCCAAGCGGGATCAGGCGAAATGCCCCGCGCATCCCCTATTTGTTGATCCCCACGTGATCGCAATTATGCACCTTATGACGCGTGTTGTGTACACAGAACAGACGCGACGGACAAGTGACAACTGTGACGATGTGCTGGCGGGCGGTCAACTAATACGTAAAGTCCCCTACCCACCACCTCCCCTGCAGCCAGCTGCAAGTTGTCAGAAGCAGCTACACACCGCACTTATCCAAAACTTCACTTTCGGGACATTTTCTTTCGCTACCGGTTTCTCACTTTATTGTTTTCCCCAACCTTTTCTCTCATCCGAGATACCACGCAAGATTTCATGGGTCTTGCGCCTCTGCCATGGCCTCTCCATTCGAAAGAGCGCCATCGCGGCGCCCATCACTGCTGAATACATCCTCTCATGATGGGGACAAGGAGCTCGCGCATTCGCTCAAGCAGCTCTCCCTTTCGACATCATCCGCCAGCAACTCACCCCGGGCTTCGAGCGCTCTGTCTCCCATGAGACCGGCCGTAAATCGAACATCTCCGGCACCGAGTCCGCGAGCCCCGTCTCGAAGTCCCTCCTTTGCGAGAGAGCTCTCCCGCTCCCGATCTTCGACGCCGACGCTGCAGCGATCTTCAACGCCAACACTTCAGCGCAAGACCTCCACCAGTTCCTTGCACTCTGTGAGTGGCTCTTCGAGCCGAACCCCTAGCCGAGCGCCTTCGAGGCGAACTAGCATGGTGCATGCCTCTTCTCCTGTCGCCAAATCCCCTTTGCGCCCGAGCCCCCCTGAGTATATCAAGCCTGCGCCCACAGCGAATACGGTCGCCCGCGATTACTTCAAGACCGAATTGGAGGTTCACCACTCGCCAACTTCGACTCGAGCAACGGAAACCCTCGTCATTCTCCACGATGCCTGCTACGGCCACCGTTTCTCTCGACCCAAGACGTCCAAGGGCGCTCTCAGCACCATCGTTGAGCGGCCTGAGAGAATCAAGGCCGGCGTGTTGGGGGTTGCCATGGCCTACGTGCGGCTCGGGGAACGGCACTGCGATGGCGCATATGCGCTCCATCCAAGTCTGGATCCCTCTACCATCCCGACGATTCCGTTTCGCATCTACAAGACCGAACGGAGACTGCCCCTGACATCGGCAGCTGTCACCAACGTCCACGGCACCAAGTGGATGGAGGAGCTCAAGATGATGTGCGAAGGAGCAGAGATAAAGTTGGCGACTGGTGGGAAGGAGCTTCAGAGGCCAGAATTAAACAGAGGTTCAGACGGACCGCCTGCGAAATTTCACGAGGGTGACCTCTATCTTTGCTCCGAATCGCTGGAGGCTTTTGAGGGCGCGCTGGGTGCCGTTTGCGAGGCCGTAGACCGCGTTTTCACATCAGGTCCTCGACGAGCCTTTGTCGCTGTACGCCCACCGGGACATCATTGCTCAGCTTCTTTCCCGTCAGGATTTTGCTGGGTTAATAACGTCCATGTCGGTATTATGCATGGCATTCTGAACCATGGCCTTACCCATGCGGCTATCATCGATTTCGATCTTCACCACGGAGATGGCTCCCAAGCCATCACTTGGGCGCATAACTCACGGGGAGTGAATGCGGCCAAGAACACGGCAGCGTGGAAAAAGGCGTCCATCGGCTACTTTAGTCTTCACGACATCAACTCGTACCCCTGTGAGTGGGGTGATGAGGAGAAGGTCAAGAATGCCAGTCTGTGTATTGACAATGCCCACGGCCAAAACATCTACAACGTCCACCTGGAATCATATGGTTCAGAGAAGGAGTTCTGGGAGCTATACGAGACCAGGTACTCAGTAATCCTGGAGAAGACGCGCAAGTATCTGAAAAACCAAGCGGCTCGCCTTCGCGCTTTGAATCTGCCTCCCAAGGCGGCAATCTTCTTCTCGGCCGGATTCGATGCCAGTGAGTGGGAGACCAAGGGTATGCAACGTCATAATGTGAACGTTCCTACCGAGTTTTACGCTCGTATTGCTCAAGATGTTGTGAAGCTTGCCGCAGAGGAAGGATTGGGAGTTGACGGGCGCGTAATCAGCGTGCTCGAGGGCGGCTACAGCGACAGAGCTCTTTACTCTGGTATTTTCAGCCATCTGAGCGGACTCTCAGGAAATCAGACCCCGAAAGAGCCCACTCGGGGTCGCTCTTCACTCGGCGACGAAATGGCAGGGCAGATCGCTGCAGCCATTACTGGCGAACCATCTCTACATCCTTACAAACCGTCATGGTGGTCGAGCTCCGAACTCGACGAGCTAGAAGTTGCGATGGGCAACAGACCAGCCAGTCCCAAGATGATACGGCACTCAACTCCGCCGACATACTCAACTCCCACACAGGCGTCGATTGGTAAGTCCATAGATCCGGCAAGGATGAGACGAATGGCGTCCGGCTTGTCGAATGGAATGCCATATTCGCGACCAGCAACACCACCTCCCCCCGATGTGCCATGGACCATAGCAGCCCATGAGCTGAGCAGGCTACTCATTCCGTCGGATCGCCAAGTCGATAGCTGCAAACCTGAAGACCTAAATGCGGAGGCTACAAGGGCTCGGAGAGACCGGCAGTCAATTCTGAACCCTGATCTTGTGCCGCCGGCACCTGCTCCCGCGCCCGCTCCTAAGCCAGCAAGCAGGCCTACCTCGCGAATGTCTCTGAGAGAGCGGAAGCCAGCGAAGCCTGGCTTATACGTTGATGCAGACGAAGATGATGACAAGCAGTCCAAGAATCGGCGAAGAACGGTCGCGGGCCCTGCTGCGCTGTCATCTGAGAAGGTTTGTCACTCCTCGTAGTATCGCAAATAGACTCAAACTGACGACGACACTAGGCAACGGCCCGAGGCATACCCTCTGACACAAATGGAGCAGCCAAGCGACCTGGTCGACGCCTTAGTGGTGTGTCTACTGTGGCTTCGAATGCTCCTAACACAGAGTTCGAGAGCAACGGAGTTTCAGCTCAGCGTCCCGACACTTCTATGAGTGTGCGACCAGACACTGCGATGAGTGTCAGAACTCAGAGTGCTACGTCTTTGAATGTTAAGAAGACAAGAGCTCCAGCAGTCAAGAAGGAAGCCCCCAAAACCACCAGGATTGTGAAGAAGCCTGCCGCAATGGCGAAACCCTCTCCTCCTCAGCAGGCTGGACCATCTCAGCCGCCTCAAGGAAAGCCGAGCCCAGCTGCTGCATCGGAGGACGATATGGACAAGTTGACTGCCGGTATGAAGAAGGTCAAGATCAACTTAATCACAAAAACACAGAAAGAAGAGCGTGCCAAGGCAGCACAAGCAGCTCAAGCCGCTCAAGCCAAAGCTGCCACACCCCCCACAGCCGAGGAAGCAAAGACGGATTTCCCGTTTGAAGCACAGACGGCTTACTCGCCGGTGGCACCTCCGATCGTCACACCTCCGCAAGACGAGGCTTTCGCTACACCGCCAACGCAGCCTCCGGTTTTTGAAGCCCCGTCACCGTCCGCCGTTCCAGAAGGCCGGCCTGAAGTCTCAACTCCAGTGACGGAGCAAATGCCTCTCGTCGCCACCCCTGATCCTCGTTCAGTAGAGCTCCCCGCCAGCTCACCCGCCGCGATGTCGCCAACCGTAGCAACACCCTCATCGGATGTTTTCATCAACTACCAACCGGAGGGTCCTCCACCTGTGTCCGTAACGCCGTCAGAACCCCTGAAGTGGATGCCGCCCAACACCAACACGCCCGTCAAAGCCTCGCCGTCTAAGCCATCGCCAGCCAAGCTGTCTTCAGCCAAACCGTCGCCCATGAAAAAGTCTCCGGTAAAGATGATGCGTGCCGATCTTCCAGTCTTCACCTCCACATCTGCGATCCCCTTTGCGCCGCCGGGAATGAGCGCCCCGTCTGAGGTCGAGCAAGAGCCGGCAATTAAGGCCGATCCGGAGGAGCCGGCAAAGTCGGTTTGGGATATCCCGGAAACTCCGCAGAGGCAGTAGTGCGCTGTGCCACAGACCGAGAGGTTTGGGGTGGAAGCACTGACACAGATTTGGGCCGTCACAGTCTTTGAAAAGTCATTTGTTTATTTTGTCTCCTTTGCCCAACGCTTTTCTCCAAGTATAGAACTTTGTTTTCTGCGAATCCGGCTTTTGGAGCCGTGTACTTGGAGTTCGCCGTCTTGATACCCTCTCGTCCGAGTTATTCTCTTTCTTCTTGATCCTCTGATTCCTCTATAAATACTATAACTCTCTTTTCTTGTACTGATCATGTACTTCGATGCTGCCATTGAAGCCATTGGAGACGTTGTCAACGTAGAGCCATGATTGGCCGAAATGCCTATAAATGTGACATGGAACCAAGATCCCATGTAACCTCGTGGACGTCCGCGGACGCGGCCAAAAGCCTTGGCATACAGAGACTTGATTTACAAAGTAGCGGGATTATGCGCGTCAACGTGGACGGATCAACGTCAGCGATTTGCTGCGGCTACCCGCCGGGCCCCGAAATTTTTCTTTGGTGGGGAACCCATTACAGCGCATTGTTTACGCATCCCAGACTTAGTTGGCCGATTGACCAGGTTCTTATCTTGAGGTAATCGGAGATACTCGAGTCCTGTTACACATATTCGGCCGGGATATCGCATCTCATCTTCAGACATTTTGTAGATTCTGTATCTCACCGCTCACTCAATTTGTGAAGCGTGGCCCAGCTTAGTTGGAATTTTCTCTTACTGTCTCTCAAACTACGTCACCAGCCAGCCCTTTGCGAACTTAGCCAGCAACGGGGACCTGACTCATCTCGAGTTCGTCTCATCTCATCTCATCTTATTTTCTCTCACTTAGACCAACCGAATACACACACGCACAACTCATCGACTCACCATGGCGTTCACGATGCACTCCCACTCGGGGCAATTCTGCCCCGGCCACGCAAAGGACCAGCTCGAGGCCATCATCCAGCATGCCATCGGCATCGGGTACAAGACCATGGGTCTGACGGAACACATGCCCCGTCTAGAGATTGGAGACCTCTACCCTGAAGAGGTAAGAACTCACTTCAGTCTCATCACACACGCCCCGAACATAGCTCTCATGAGAAACTTAATGATCCTGACCAAAATCTTCACCAGCTCGAAGAAGGAGACCCCCAAACAGCCCTCTCCATCCTCGCCCCCCGCCACGAAGCCTACCTCGCCGAAGCCCAGCGCCTGCGCGAAAAGTACGCCCCGCAGATCGACCTCCTCATCGGCTTCGAGGGGGAGTGGTACCGCCCGGCCTACGGGCCGTTCATCAAGTCCCTCGCGTCCCACCCGGCGGTGGACTACTTCATCGGGTCGCTGCACCACGTCAACGCCATCCCCATCGACTACAGCCGGGACATGTACGTCGAGGCGATGAAGTCGGCCGGCGCCGACGAGGAGAGCATGTACGCGCGGTACTACGACCAGCAGCACGAGATGCTGACGGCGCTAGAGCCGCGCGTGGTGGGCCACTTTGACCTCGTGAGGCTCATGAGCGAGGATCCGGGGAGGGACGTGAGGCAGTGGAAGGGGGTGTGGGAGAAGATTGTGAGGAATCTGGAGGTCGTCAAGGGGTATGGGGGCTTGTTGGAGTGTAATAGCAGTGCGTTGAGGAAGGGTCTCGATGAGCCTTATCCGTGCCGACCTATTGCAGAGGTAAGTTCTTTTCCCCCTTCTCCCCTCCTGTGTTCTCGGTCCTTTCTCCAAAGCTCGAAAGACATTTTAGGTGGTGTAGCCATTGGTCTCTTGCGACTAACTCCGTACCACAGACATGGTTGGCGATGGGCGGCCGCTTCACATTCTCAGACGATAGCCACGGCATCGCACAGGTCGCGACGAATTACAAACGCAACGTGAAGTACCTCGAGAGCCTGGGCGTGAAGGAGGTCTTCACGTTTGAGCGGGGGCCGGTGGAGGGGGTCAATGGGGATGCTAAGGCCGTGTTGCGGGAAAAGGGCGTTGGGTTGGCGGCGTTTCGGGAGAACTTCACCTAGAGGAGATGAGGCGCAATAGAGTTGTAGACGAAGAAGAAGCAAGAGAAAAGAAAAGAGCTGGTGTAGAGGGTAGACGTAGAGGTGTGAGATAGATGAACGTCTGGCAAAAGGCCAAGAATATTCGGTTCCATTCTGTTGGTCATGGTGTAATTATTTTTAGCACCAACTGTCTCCCTGCGATCGATGTTCAAAGTCATTGAGCCATTGCTCATCAACATCCTTCCGGTGTATTAAATGCAGAAAGATATGAAACGCGTCAACTGAGGCGCCGGCGATAATTCATACTATGAAGAATTGAGTCCCAGAACTAGAACACAACTGGGTTCCACCTCATAACATAACACTCAACATCCTTCTTCAACAATTGTATGAAGTTGTCAGAAGGGATCGTGCTGTAACTAGAGCGTCCTGACCATTGTCTCCATCAAAAACCCTAATTTCTCCCACAAAACCCCAAAAACCGAGTTCCTGTGCAACATCACCAAAACACCACCACAACCAAAACAAAACTCACGATAGCTTCACAGAAGGCGCAAAAAGAGTGACCCCCACCCGATTTGAACGGATAACCTTTCGATCTGGAGTCGAACGCGCTACCGTTGCGCCAGAGGGCCGTGATGTCTGATTCCGGATCTCGAACTGGAGAGGCGGAGTTGACGATGCAGCCAGGAAATGGGTGTATGGATCGAAGCGGGGTGAAGTGGCGCCTGCAGAGTTGGAAAACGGAGTCTCTGAAAATGAAAGTGGGTCTTGTTTACTTCACAAAGGTCAAGTGTGCCACCTTCATGCAGGACAAGAAATGCAGAAACACACTTTCGGGTAAGACGCTGCGGAACGATTGGTGAGTCAAGACTCTCTGCATGATTCGAGTATTAAGCCCACTTGAGCAGACCTTGGGGCCTCAGTCTATAATTGCATATGGCAACTTCGACGTTTGGTCCAAACTAAGGTACAATAACTGAGACTTCGCAGGAGACAGCACTGTGCTTTTGGGACTTGACTTTGCTTGTCATCCGAAGCTACCAAGCTAGGTCAGGCAAATCACCAGTAGGCCTATCAAGAGCCTCTTGATCCAATTCAGGCGAATCAGACCTGGCTTTCGGCCAGCAGGCTTATCGACTTACACCGAAAATAGTGAAATCACATCTAGCTGTTGTCGATGCACCCAACTAGTCTCAGCCATTGCCGCTTTCGGTGCAAGTGTCTGTCACTTACTTTTCCAGCACATTTCCTTCTCCTGCCTGAAAGCTTGCCCGAACAGAAAACTACACGATCTTGAAGCCAGACTGTAGAGCAAACACGAGAGAGGAGTGGTCGGCCTTGGTATCTTCACGTCGGCTGGCGCCTCTTCGAGCGCTTTTTGTCAAATTATGCAAGATCCTTCGACTCATCCTTTGCATCGACAAGACCAATGAGAACTCACAGGTGCGCAACAAGATTTAGAATCCCACCTTTCTACTAGCGTTCCCAGAGACCCGGATCTCATCCGAGAAGAACTAAGACAGGGGGCTTGCGGGAAGCGCGTTTGCATTTTTTGACCGTGACATGGCATGCATCACTTGAGCCGGATGCGGCCAGCCTCAATGACCTCATTGGACTGACATGGTTGTAAGTCAGCCCTAAGGAAATAGCCTTGTGCTTTAACAGGAACAAGCTTTTAGCCCGTCAAGCCCGTCTGCATCTCTTATCCCAATAGGTGCTCCCGAACACAAGTGATTCAGAAGCGAGACGAGTAGTTGTTTCTACGAGACAAAGTTGTTCCATTTGCGGGGACCGCCTGATCGTACCTTGTCGATGAAGCCGGGGGTGATGCATCGGGACAAGAGGACCATGGCGAGGCGTCTTCAAGTACCTATACTACACTACAGGTAGCTCACTGGCACAGCTGGTAGATAAAGCAAGCTTTGCCTACCTTCTCACGATAGAGCTTGAGCAGCTTTCGTCTCCTCATATCTAACCTGTGTCCTGATAGCCTAGGAAGCAAAGTACACCATGCCCGTGATAAATCGCCAATTTCTTGGCGGCGTCCTCCTCTTGGCCGGCCTAGCCTCCGCCCAGGGACAAGAAGACGTCGACCCCTTTGCGCCCGTCTACACAAGCTGTCCCTCAGGCTTGGCAGTGCGGTCAGCTTCAGAGGTAACTTGAGGTTTTGCCCCCCATGAACTTTAAGCATAGCTATTGACTTTCTTCTGTAAGGGACTCTCGCGCTCGGAATCATCTTGGAGGGTAAGCCGCGGCGAAAAGGTCATCCCCGCGCTCAGCTCTTACCTCACATTGGCGAATATTTCTGGATTCGATGTCCAAGGCTACATTCAGCGTCTCAATACCTCCAACTATCCCGTCGTTGGTCTCTCCGTCTCCGGAGGAGGCACTCAGTCGGGTGTTGGAGGTCTTGGGATATGGCAGGCTTTTGATGCCCGCAACTCGGCTGCCGTTGCTGCTCGCACGGGTGGTTTGACGCAGGTTCTGTCATATATCACTGGTCTAAGTGGTGGAGGTGCCTTGACCGTGAGCACACTGTAAGTTCTGCCGACTGTTCTCTATCTGACTGCGTCTTCCCCTGTCCAACGAATGTAGAGTGCTTACATGTTACGCAGAGCTGCCAACGATTTCATATCCATAAGTGCTCTAAGAAAACAAATCAACTTCACTGTCGATTACACCCTGGGTCCGGACGGCAACATCACCACCTATCTGACAGATATCTTTGAAAATGTTGGCGCAAAGGCAGAGACAGGACTTCCTGTCTCCGTCGCCGACGCCTTTGGCCAGTTCTGGGCAACCTATCTCCCAGAGAACCGTACTTATGGCAACTACTCTGATCTTGCCCAATCAGGAACCGTCTTCTCTTCAGGCGAAGCCCCAATGCCCATCATAGCTCTCTCTGAGGTCATCCCCGGACAGTCACCCACAATCGGTGGCATCATGTGGCCTGGAAGGAACAACACCAACGGATTCAATCTGACTTCCTACGAAGTGACACCCTTTGAGTTCGGAAGTTGGCGAGGCGGAAGAATCCAGGCTTTCATGCCGACAATGTACCTTGGAACCTCCATGTCCAATGGCACGGCCCAGAACAGCAGTGAGTGCGTTCAGGGGTTCGACAAGTTCACCTTCATTCAGGGGTCTACAGCCGACGCTTTTGACGCGTGGTTCATCGACGACTGGTACGATACTCCAATATTTGCCAAGCGAGCGCTCAATACAGGCCCGCCAAACACCTCGGTCATCGTGCCTCCCCCTCAGTTCGAAGACGACGGGCGTGTGATCCTCGTCAACCAGACGGCCGAGTCCTTCAACCAGACATTCAACGAGTCTCTGTGGGCCACCTACCCGAACCCCTTTGAGAACTACAACCCCGCCATGCAAGGGATCGACGAGCTCCTCCTCGTTGACGGTAGCCTCGGCGGGGAGACGAACCCCATCCGGCCCCTCATCATCCCCGAGCGCCAGGTCGACCTGGTCATCGTCTACGAGGCCTCCTCAGACGCGCAGTACAATTGGGTCAACGGCACCAACCTCGTCAACACGGCTCAGTCGGCGGCCCAGGGCAACATTCCCTTCCCGCGCATCCCCGACGTCGCGACGCTGGTGACGCAGAACCTGACCAAGCAGCCCACCTTCTTCGGCTGCGACGCCGCCACGTCGCCGCCTACGCCGCTGGTGCTCTACCTGCCTAACTCGCCGTGGTCCGGCTACAGCAACTTTTCCTTCTTCAAGTCCTCCTTCACGGACAACGAGTTCGACCTCACCGTCGACAACGCCTTTAACCTCGCAACCTACGGCAACGGTTCGGTAGATGCAGCGTGGCCCGCCTGTCTCGCCTGCGCGACGATCCGCGGAAGTCTGATCAGGGCTGGTGTCGACCTGCCGGAGCAGTGTCAGGAGTGCTTCCGCCGCCATTGTTGGAACGGACAGGTTGCCAATCGTACCATCACGGCGGACGATCTCGATCCCAAGCTCAGACTCAATTCGAGCCTGTCATTTTCGGAGTGGAATCAGACATACTGGAGCAGTCAGAAGACCACGGGTGGTGCCGGCGGCGGAGGAAGTGGCGGGAACAGCGGCACCGGGACCGGAGGCAATGGCGGTGGTGGTGCCTCATCCACACCCTCGGCTTCGGCCACGGCGAGCCCCTCTGGTGCATCGAGTTCGGCCGAACTTGCACGAGTGGCGACTGCCGTGACTGTGGCTTCTCTTGTTGCTCTGATAGCATTGCTATAGGCTAGAATTATGGGGTATCATTTCTACAATTCTTTCTTACAGATAATAAGTCATTTCAAGAACTAAAAAAGACGTTGTGTTTGTGTGGCATTAGCAGCTCAGGGGCGAACGGCCCGTAGTCAGAATGTGTCTGCTCCATTCCAAGTACATCCGCAAAGATATCTCTTGCTTGTGTGCGTAGTAGAGGCATGTTGCTCAGTAGACCCTGGGCAAGATGCATCCAGTCCGTTACTCCAGAGAGCTTCAAGCGAAGAGCCTAGTAGTGGCGTGAGTCATCAAGGTCGTACTTCCAAACAGAGGAAAAGGACTGCGTCCGATATGATCTCACCTCAAGCTGTTCCTTGACATCATTTTCTTCCTCTAAGGGTGCCGTCACTCTCATGACTCTCTGCGTATGGACGACGTATTTGGCAATTTTGTAGATCTTGGAACAGCCGTCCAGCACGTTGTTCAGATCACATCCCTCTTCCTTCAATCCTGCTAGGAATTGGATAAATTGGCCCAAGACCCTGATATTGAGATGGGCCTCTGATCCTGTGGGTTCCTCGAGTGCTGACCATAAGAGGATTAAGCTGGCCATGATGGGATAGCCGAGAAGAACCCTATCAGAAGTGTTAGTGAGCTATATAGAAAATCAAGAATATTTGAAACTGACCATATATTCACATAAGGTTGAGGTGGCATCACCCGTAGAAGATCAATGATTGCCCGAGCCGCCGACGTACACTTGGAGTGTGACTGCTCTATGCTGGGAAAGGCGCCCCTATTCACCCAGTCTGAGTACAGCGAGCATGACGGCTGTACGCTCGTCGCATTCTTCAGTCGCGCCAGGTTGATGTTAGTCTTAATCAGAGTGCTAAAATAGATAAAATGCAACAGGGCGGTGTGCATGTCCACCGCTCCCGTCGTCGAGGGGGTAGAGGGGTCCGGCCTCGATTCTTGCGGGAGCGAGCACTTCCACTCTTCCAGCTCACAATTGGACAGTATCATCATCATGTGATGTTCCGTACCTGACTGCAGCTGGAGATTGTGTGGAGAGAACTTTCCATGGAGTGTGACTTGGGTCCTTGAGAGTTGTGCCATGCTATTAAGGAGGCACGGCGAGTGCGAGATGCCATCAAAAACGGTCGCATCCTTATCTGGGAGCTCAACGGTGACATCGTCATGAGCAAAGGGGTGAGATAGACCATACTTTGCCATCATGTCCGTGTTGAGTATATGTGTTGCCCAAAATACCCGCCTACGTCGCGCCGACTCGATGGCATCAAGGTTGGCATAAGTTTCCCTCCTGTGCAACCCGATGATCTGCGCGGTTCGGGCCGCCGCAGAAGCCAGCTGAGCCGTCGTGCGCGCATCGGCCGTCTGCAACGAGAACGTGGCTATAGCCAGCAAGGCCTCGCAGGCCAACACGTTTGTCCCCTGCAGAAGGAGTTCAGGGACGATGGCGTATGCGTTCTTGTAGTATCCCCAACTCAAGCCGCCAAAACGCTCAAAGGAGTCGTTCGCGGTCCTCCACCGCATGGCGGCCCCAAACATGGCATTTGCAATCGCGCGCCTGGCTGAAGTATCACAGTCATTTTGGTCGGCGTGAACCCCGTACTGTTTGTCAGTATGCCCTAAGAATGTCTCTCTCGTCATGGCGGGACAGAAGAGCTGCACTTCCTCCATGACGGTGACCTCCAAATCCAAAATGTAGTCTTGGGGCGGGAAGCGTGCAAATGTGGTTCGGCTGAAAGGCCTCCGGTCTACAGTTGCCTCAATCTGATTTCGAGCATTACGCAGTCCTTCTAGCACGGAAGTCCGCCCGAACAGATCTTTGGGAAGGAAAGGGAGAGCATAGGGTGGCATCCTTTCGCGCCGGCTGGGTCCAGGATCGGCCGGATCACGCTGCTGTTGTTCTACGGCATGACCCTGGATTCTTTGCGCCAGACTTTTTGGTACCTTTATGCGCCGTTCGGCAAGCTGAGAAAGTGTAGTATCGACGAGCCCTTGGGATTGCCCTCTTGGATCCTCCAAAGACAACTGGCCACCGAGAGTACCAATTTCAGCCACATCGGGCGCCTCCGCACTCAGTCGCTTTCCTCCTGGCTCGGATTCAACTTTGTTCCTGGGTAGAACGTCAGCAATTGTCGACGGAGTGACCCGCACTTGGCACTGACTTCCGCCCCGGGCCTCTCTTCCTGCGCTCAGTGTATACGCAAGGTACGCCCGATCTAGTGCAGAGTCCACAGGCCGGTTCTTGTCCGTCGCAGCGTCTCTTGCGTGATTTGCAGTGGGCACATGCCTATGGATTGTAATTAAGTAAGTTCATATCGATTCCGACTGGATGGTACGGACGCGGAGTTGCTTACACTATAGATCCGCTTCTTGGTGACTTCCTCCGCATTGCTCTCGACGGTACTGGTGGCCTCAGCGACATCGGCCATGTTTGCTAGGTGGTCTCTTCACCCTACGGAAGTACTTTGAACAGAGCAAGGAGCTGTTGTTTGATTCCGCTTGAAAGATGGGCAAACATTGTGCTTCATGCGGGAGTTGTCGTGGGTAGTCGGGGGATGTATAAGTGGGCGGATATTATTAAGCTTCCGCCCTTTGTAGTAGACGGGAGAGATAGCGGATACAACTGCGGATGTTTCTGGCATGATTAGTATCCCCCGCTATAGCCTTTCTCGACTAGCTTACCCCAGCTTTCCGCAAATCAGCGTTCAGAGCGGCCCAAGACTATCATCAAATCGGAGACACAATTACATCCGCCGAGTCGACGGAAGCTCTGGACAAAGGTGCTTCCTCCACAATTACGCCATCTCATCCTTCTTCGATTCTGCACCTTCGATGTCCAAAGTTCCGAGTCATTGCTAAATGGGTCGGCAGAAGCATCGTAAACCCGACCCAGAGTAACAATGGCGGAGTCGTATCGTTATACCGTCGGACTTTTAGTCTAAATCGCACAGACGGAAAGTCGAAGAGGAGAGTATGTTATTGTACGTATAAGAGGACATGAGGGTCGCGACGAACACACAAGCGATCAATACACAACGATAGCAGACGACAACAATCTTTTCAGCACATCATATCTAGAACGCTTGTTAGATCATCCCCTACAAATCACAAAAATGAGCTCTTTCAAGAACGTTGCTCTCCTTGGCGTAAGTCCACATCCCAGCCTCAGAAGCCAGAGCACACGAGATACTAAGAGGTCTACAGAAAGGGCTCTTGGGAAGCGCAATCACCACTGAACTTGCCAACGCTGGCTTCAATGTTACAGTATTCGGCCGCGCCGAGTCTGCCTCAGGAGACCTCCCTGCTGGGGTGCACTTCAAGACGATCGACTACTCCACAGTTGACACCATCGCCACGGCCGTCAAGGGGCAGGATGTCATCGTCTCAACCCTTAGCAAGGGCGGCCTCTTCATCCAGAGAACTGTCATTGACGGCGCTATCAAGGCTGGCGTCAAGCGCTACATCCCTTCCGACTGGGGCTCCTTCACCACCGACCCCAAGGCGGCAGCCGAGCTTACCGTCATGATGAAGCCCTTCACCGACACGCAGAACTACCTGAAGGAGAAGGCCGGCGAGATCGAGCACACAATCTTCTCCGTCGGCGGCTTCACCGACCTCATCGTCAAGTTCCCCATCGCCTTTGACTACGCGAACAAGACGGCGGCCGTGACGAACGGGGGCCACGCCCGCTTCGCCAGCACCAGTCTTGCCGGCATCGGCAAGGCGGTCGCGGGCGCTTTGAAGAACCCTGAGGCAACAAAGAATCGCAATCTGAAGATCCAAGAGTTCGAGGTCTCTCAGGCGCAGCTGCTTGCGCTCGCGAAGAAGTACTCGCCGCCCGGCACCGAGTGGAAGGAGACTGAGCTTGACGGTGAAGTTGAGCTGGAAAAGAACCTGAAAGCCGCACAGGAGGACTCCACCAACGAGTTCGCTATGATGGGTCTAATCAAGGCTGCACTACTCAGCGGCCGATACAAGTCTTCTTACGACAAGCTCGATAACGAGCTCGTGGGCCTCCCGATTCTGACCGAGAAGGATCTAGAGGCTAAGTTCGCGGCGGTGTACAGTTCCTAGACTGTTTTGCTACTCTACAGTCTACGCAGTCGGAAATGGATAGTAAGGCTTACTTGTAACAAGGCTATGATAAGTAGAGGATGAACTACATGTGCAACCATTTTTGATAGTTGAGAATAGACTTTGTTCACGCAGCTGTGGCGTCGTTGTGTGTGCCTAGAGAAATGACGAACAGACATATATGTGACAGCCGTTCCGTTGCGAGGATGCATTTCTTGCGGTGCTGAGCATGAAGAAAACAATTGTGGGTTGGTCTCCTATATGCAATATCTTGCTACGCTTCAAGAAATGTCGAATGAGCGACATCGTCAAGCGAACATGCATAAACGAGCGTTGGAATGCAGTGACTCCAATCGCCTCAACAGAACGAACGATTGACTCGGATAGAATTATACTTTGACGCCTCTAAACCATCACAACTAGTCTGCAAGTCTAGTAATGAAAATGGGCCTATCAAAGTACTGAAGAAGCAAATATAGTATATCAATCACGCCACAATAACTCGCGCAACACTGCTAGATGTTCTAGTCAGCTACAACTTTCCATTTCTACGTCTATCCACCTAGTGCATTTTGAAAACTACAGCACCCCGTGGCAAATATTCACATTAAACACGACGTAATGCAACCCTAGAAAGGAGAAAACTCTTAGAGGCTACAGCTTACATTGCCATGGGCGGTGGACCATATTGATAATCCATGCAGTGCAACGACATCTACTCCATCGCGAAAGAAAGATACATCCAGTGTACAAACACCAGAGTATCTACATGTCACAGATGCGCCCGCATGTACCCCGGGGCCATTATGATCTAGACCACTGCTCCAGCATGAGATGCAAATCGGATACTTCAGTGACAATCAAAAGCCTGTTCCATCCAAATGTGCAAAACCCCATAGTGGTCTAGATGATAAGGATGAAATGGAGGTCTGACATCTGATATCACCCGCTTCCCTCCTCATTGCAGGCGCCCTCATTTCATATCATCACATCCAGGATTGCTTCCAAGCCCGCGCCGTCGATTCTTGGCAACACATCCCCTGGGGGAGCCACCAAGATTATGCAGTGTTCCGACTTCCCGCAGGACGGCGCTCTCTCCAGTGTCCACACTTCACAAGCGCGCGAATCTTGGCAAGGGGGCAGCACCCCTTTCGATCCTGCAACCAGCCCGGGACGCCCGGTAGACAGGCCCAGCTGGTTGCCGCTGAGCATCGCAACATGAGACCCAGGGGAGGAAGGGCAAGGAGGGAGGGGTTTGTGGTGGGGATGTAGGGATGGTGTGAGAGCACTGGGCAGTCAAAACGGCTTCTTGTAGGGGGGGTGGTGTTGGCGTGCTAGTACCTTGAAGGATCACGTTGGCCGGAAGCCTGGAATGGTCTCTGAAATCAATCCGCTGGCTGCCGCTGGACAAGGGCCCTCGTCAGCCATGGGATAGCCGAACTGCATGCCCGTTAGAAGGCCAGCATGGGAGAGTGAGGTTATGTTTGGGGGAAGGTGGTTGGGTTCACGGTAGTACCATATCTTAGCCATCTTTGTACTGCCATGCTGAAGCTGCCATTATCAAACATCAAGACATCAGGCCATAATCTTGAGTCAGTTTGAGTTTCGTGATCCCTATACGTCTTCTTATACGCTGGTTTGCCGGGAGAGTTTTCGTATATGCCAGTGTGTCCTTAGCATTTTTGGACTATGATCTATCTACAGCCCCTAGGTGAATACGATTAAACCCCAGGACTCATTCGCCACACGAAACGGCTATCGAGACCATGGCAACAACAGATGGGTCCCAGAAGGCTCCATGTCAGTTGTCAATTTATCGGCCGATCGGACAAGAGAGCGAGAGGCAGCCGAGAAGCCTTTTGGTCCACTGTGACAAAGGAGCTGGCCTCGTTGGAATTTTCACAGGGCGGAGCAACTGACCCGTAGATGGGTATTTGGCCAAATATTGGCGGGCAGTCAAATATCTGATCGTAGGGAACTATATCTCAGGGTCCTCGTGGGGATCAATCTAAGCATACTATAAGAGAAAGTACGGATACTTTCTCCTTGTTGAACCTGTTGCCGTGGCTCGTGGACGCAGCTTCGCAAGCTCTTCCCACGGGGGTTGCTTCCGTCTCACCCCCTTCCCCCCAGCTCCATCTGCCTAAATTATCGAGGATGAAGCCGATAATTATCGCGTTGATCATAAGATCAAGCCGTCGTGTACGCCAGTGCTCCTCGAAGGAGGTTAAAACAGTCCAACAACCCAATGACGCTTGCAGCATCACCCAGTGCCAAGGAAATCCTACCTAGACGTTTGAGCATCAAGTCACGGAGGCGTCCCCCTTTCGGATCGGTCCGCTGACCGATGTTGCTGTTGTCGGCGTCATCGACTTTTCGGCTCCCGCATGTGCTCCCACTCCGTGCGTAAGTATTGCCCGAAAAGGTTGGACAGATAACCACCATCAACAACTACCCCTTGACCGATGACCGATGACCGTTGGCCGTTGATCGTTGATGAGCTCCAGACATACGCAGCATGGCAAATGGTTATCATCGGCAGTGCGCCGTTGGCTCCGGGTAAGTGTTCTCACGCATGAGCACGCGAGCAAGTGCGTGTAGTGGTGTACCGTAGTCTCCGGGAAGCCTTTCCTCCTCCCCGTTGCGGTGTTGATACCCCCGCCTCGCTTCACCATCTTTCCTCATCCCCCATCTCGCTGATGTCGCCGAGGCGCCGAGGCGACGCCGAGGCAAATGGGGTTTCTTGAAATCCCATCTAGACATGTCCATGCCGGCCGGGGCGTATTGCGAGAATGGGCCAATCAAGCATGGCTGCATCATATCTCCCACATCACGGACAATCGAGCGCTCGTTTCTTTCTTTTCTCTTTCTTCCTTTTTGGCTGGGTATCCAACCGAAGGGGGAGGGAGGGGAGGGGCGGTCGGCCCGCCATTCAATGTCAAGAAAAGGCCTAGAACAAGTTCAGAAGCAAGTTTGACAGCCCCCGCTAACGGGCGTTTTGGTGGCACCCCTTTTCTTTCTTGCAGCTCATGGTCGGCGATCCCCCATGCTAGCAAAGTTGCAGAAAAGCAAGGCGTGGCAGAGGAAGCTTTCCCGGAGCTAAGCTAGTAGACGGGTCCCCATTTTAGCGTTCCCGCGGGAAATTTCATGGCCGTTTGAAAAAAACATGAGTCGTGTCATTTGGTTGCCATTCTGGGTAATCTCTTCACTAGTCAGGAGGCAAAGAGTTAGGGATCATGATACTAACAAATTTGTAAATGAAAGGGAGCAAAGTGACGCGAACCTATCAAATGGCGGTGGAGTTTTGGGCAGCGAAAATGAGCTTCACTTATTCCGCGGAATTCGGAAACAATTAACATGGTATCCAGCTTTGGGCAGCGACACACCACCACCACGCCCGCCGTGCCCAGACTAAGCCTGGAGAAGCTTAGCCAATGAGTGACGCCCCGGTTGCCATTCTCGGAAGAGCCCCGTAGGTATCCCCGTGCTTCGGGTCCGGTGGATCTCGGGACACGCCAAACGGTAAGCGACAGCCGGATAAGATGGTGCGGAACAAGCGGGGGACCCACCCGGGGCTCAGTGGTTGATTTTGTCGACGTCGCTCTTTGCCCCTTCCGAGCCAGAATCCCGCCCGACCTGCATCATCGGCCTTGCAGCTTGCAGGAGCATCGCAATTGTTGGGAATGAGTTCTACCCTGCCCTTTCCTCTCGGGACCTGCCACTGCCTGTCATCACATCCCTAATTGAGATGGAACGGGCAGAATCCCGCTGTGTTTCTGTCTAATCACACTCTGCTCCCGCCTATTCGGGCTACCTTTCCGCATTTCTCCAGGTCCCCTGTATCATCAACAAACCCGTCGCGGCTCACCATTTAGGTGTTTGTCCTATCTTATCAAAGGTGCCAGCACGCGAATTCATCAGTCTGAGTAGGGCTATCCTTACGGCCCAAGAAGAGGAGTAAATGAAATGCGCCGGATCACTCAGCCCTTCCGCAGTCGGGGACCCTCTTCGGCGTGGGGAACCTTCGGATGCAGTCCCGATGTCCAGAGGCACCGGCGCTGGCTCCGTCAACAGTACCCCGTCCCCGCTATCTCTGCTATCACGCTTATCTCATTCTCACCCAGCCGTTTTCGGAACGTCCGACGTTATCCCCGACGGCATCAATACCCCTAAGCAAGCAACCACTTCGAAACGAAACATTGCGCAAACCGATTCCCCAAAAAAATGAATGACCGAAAAGAGAAAGAATGCCCAGCCCGAATCAGATATCGCGTATTTTTACCGAAATTTCTCCCCGGGCAGAATATGCCCCTTCTTTTTTCTTTACTTTTTCTGCTTACCATTCATGACCCCAGGCAAGTTAACCTTTTGCCAGACTGCTACGATATCGGCCGGTGCGGCTTCCTACTCTACGGATACGTGGGTGCATCCTTCCATCAGCCCTCCCTTTCCTACGTTCCATGTGCTGTTTTCTCCCTTGGGAAGGATCATCCTTGCTCCGTTTGTGCGTAGCTAGACCTGAATAATTAGATTAACCTTTACCCCTTCCTCTTACCCCAAAAAAGCTCCGACTGACGTGCGATCTACCCAAACTCTCAACCAACTCCAAATCAACTTCACCCCTTCACAACGTCACACCGACTTAACCCCGTGCGTATCGAAAGAGAGGGAGAAGGTCATCACCTCCAGCCGCAACTGAATCCATCCATCACCACCACATTCAGACATCGTAGCGTCACACAGTCATCTATCACCAAAATGAAGATCAAAGCACTCAACGTCTACCCCATTAAGGCTCTCCGCCCAATCCACCTTACCGAGGCAACCCTCACCCCGCAAGGCATCCTCCACGACAGGACCTACATGCTGTTCAAAGTCAATCCGGACTCGACCCTCCGCAAGATGCAACTCTCCACCTTCCCCCAATGCGCTCTCTTCTCCCAGGAGATCGTCGGCTCTCCCGACGAGGACGGCGGCGAAGAGATTCTCGTAAAGTACAA